ATTTTCTAAGTTAAAAATGAATCTCCAATCTAGTCGTCCAAATTCCGACTAGGAAAAAGGAATAAAAATGTTTCTAAGTTAAAAACGAATTTTGTATATGCAAACCGTCCAAATTCTGACTTGAAACAAAGTACGAAAATTTTCTAAGTTAAAAATGAATCTCCAATCTAGTCGCCCAAATTCCGACAAGGAGAAAGGATAAAAATGTTTCTAAGTTAAAAACGAATTTTGTATATTCAAGGCGTCCAAATTTCGACTTGAAACAAAGTACGAAAATTTTCTAAGTTAAAAATGAATCTCCAATCTAGTCGTCCAAATTCCGACTAGGAAAAAGGAATAAAAATGTTTCTAAGTTAAAACGAATTTTGTATATTCAAGGCGTCCAAATTTCGACTTGAAACAAAGTACGAAAATTTTCTAAGTTAAAAATGAATCTCCAATCTAGTCGTCCAAATTCCGACTAGGAAAAAGGATAAAAATGTTTCTAAGTTAAAACGAATTTTGTATATTCAAGGCGTCCAAATTCCGACTTGAGGCTTGAATGGACATTATAAAATTAGCATAATAGTCAGTCAAACACCGATTCAGAAGTACCCAATCGGCTAACATCAGACTTAAAACTCAAACTTGTCAAGATGATCGGTCGGATTCCGATTTGAAGCTTGAATGGAAAAATTATAAAATTATAAAATTATCATAATTATACTCGCCCAGTCGGACTTTTGCCGATAATCATGAGTTTGTCTTCGAGTTTTTTATACTCGCCCAGTCGGACCTTTGCCGACAATCACGAGTTTGTCTTCGAGTTATTTATACTCGCCCAGTCGAACTTTTGCCGACAATCACGAGTTTGTCTTCGAGTTATTTATACTCGCCCAATCGGACTTTTGCCGACAATCACGAGTTTGTCTTCGAGTTTTTTATACTTGCCCAGTCGGACCTTTGCCGACAATCACGAGTTTGTAGTGCCTTTAAAATAACATATGTTAGGAATCATGACAAAAAACAATGAGAGACATTTATTAGAATTGAAAGTGGTGCCTCGTTAAAAACCTTCTCAGCAAAAACCCCTCATATTTTTACGGGGACAAAATACTGAGTTAGGAAAAGAGTGCACCTAATACAAATGGATAAAGAGACTAGTTATAGTAAAAACGCAAATTTGCAGCATTCCAAGTCCTCGGTATCATCCCGCCATCCAGGGTCCTCAGTCGGTAAGCTCCTTTGCCAACCACATCGTCAATTTTGTAGGGGCCGACCCACTTAGGTGACAACTTGTTTCTCATCTGAGTTAGTTGAGCACGCTTCAACACGAGGTCTCCTACAACAAAATCTCTCGGGACGACTTTTGTATTGTACTTGAAGGTTGCTCGTCTCTGTGTTGCTACTTGATTTATCCTAGCTCTCTCCCTTGTTTCTGTGATCAAGTCCAAGTCTACTCGTCTTCCCTGGTCGGATTCCTCCTCTAAAAAAGCAGTAGTTCGTACTGATGGTTCTGCGATTTCGATCGGGATCATGGCGTCTGTTCCGTACACTAGATTGAAAGGGGTGTCCTGGGTCGACGAATGAACAGTTATGTGGTATGACCATAGCACTCGGGGTAACTCCTCCACCCAAGAAGCGCTTGAGTCTTGGACACGCTTCTTCAAACCTGAGAGGATTACCTTGTTGGCCGACTCTGCCTGGCTGTTAGACTGTGGGTGCTCAACGGAAGTGAATGCCATCCGGATGCCGACTTCTTTACAAAAATCTCGGACTCTCGCACTCGCAAACTGTGTCCCATTATCGAATACGAGCATCTGAGGGACTCCATACCTGCACACTACGTTTTTCCAAAGAAACGCTCTAACCTTCTCTGCCGAGATGGTTGCAACTGGCTCCGCCTTGATCCATTTGCTGAAGTAATCCACAGCTACTATCAAGAACTTCATTTGTCTTACTGCGATCGAAAATGGACCGAGAATATCAATCCCCCACTTGTGAAAAGGCCAGGGGGATAATATCGAATGTAGTCGTTCAGCTAGGGAATGGTGCAGGGCTGCATGTCTCTGGCATCCGTCACACTTTTGGACCCAATTGACACAGTCGTTCCTCAAGGATGGCCAAAAGTACACTGCTCGGGCGACTTTGTACACCAGAGCTCGGCCTCCGATATGACTTCCGCACATTCCACTATGTATTTCATCCATCACTTTTTGTGCTTGCAGTATGGTCAAACACCTTAGGAGAGGAGAGCTAAAGCCACTTCAGTACAACCTTTCGTTGATGACGATGAACCTGGCCGACTCCCTTTGCACTAACGATGCCTCCTTTTTGTCCTCCGATAGTTCCCCCCGAGTCAGATATGCAATGTATGGTCCCATCCACGAGTTGAGTTCTTCCTGGATGAATAGGATATTTTCTTGGGCCTCGTTTATACTCGGCTGTGCCAATGTTTCTTGGATGACTGACCGAGTAGCTCCTGGTTTCTTTGTGCTTGCAAGCTTGGAGAGCAAGTCGGCCCTGGAATTTTGCACTCGTGGTACGTGGTTAAGTGTGAACTCTCAAAAGTTTTCCGATAAGAGCATAACCTTTTCCAAGTACTTAGCCAGTTGAGGGTCCTTTGCCTGGAAGGTGCCGGCTACCTGCCCCGTGATCAGTTGGGAGTCACTTCGTGCTGATAAACTTGTCGCCCCCATTTCCTTTGCCAATGTCATACCGACCAACAACGCTTCATACTCGGCTTGGTTATTGCTTGCCCAGAACTCAAATCGCAATGATTGTTCCAGCAAAATTCCTCCTGGTCCTTCCAAGACAATCCCCGCTCCACTTCCTCCAAGGTTTGAGGCTCCATCTACCGACAGGATCCACTGTGTCTCTTCAATTTGGCCTTCCCCCGCCGGTGAGGTTAGTTCCATCACGAAGTCAACTAGCGTTTGAGCTTTGATTGCTCCTCTCGGCTCATACTTGATGGAATACTCTGACAACTCCACGGACCACTTCATCATCCTTCCTGCCAAGTCGGGCTTCTACAGTACTTGCCTAATCGGATGATCTGTTCAGACTACCACCTCATAACTCTGAAAGTAATGTCTCAGCTTCCGCGCTGTAACAAGTATTGCTAGGGCTAGTTTCTCAATCTTCTGGTAACGAACCTCCGCGCCTTGCAACACCCTGCTAACAAAATAAATGGGCAATTGAAAGCTACCTCTTTCTTGTACTAAGACCGCGCTGATGGCGCTATCGGATGCCGACAAATACATCAGTAAAGGGAGATCGGCTTGCGGTTTGGAGAGGATTGGTGGTGAGGTGAGAGACTATTTGAGTTCGCCGAACGCTCTTTCACACTCCTCTGTCCATGCAAAACGATTGTTCTTTCTCAAGCACTGGAACAAGGGCAGCGACTTATCCGCCACCTTTGAAAGGAACCGAGAGAGGGAAGCCATCCTTCCTGTCAACTGATGGACCTCTTTTACCGTCGCCGGACTTCTCATATTGATAATCGCAGAGCACTTCGCAGGATTTGCCTTAATACCACAATGCGTCAGCGGGAAACCGAGATCCTTTCCTGCTTGGACGCCGAAAGAGCACTTCGCGGGATTCAACTTGAGTTGATAACGCGCCAAAGTGTCGAAGCACTCTT